GTAAGAAAAAACAAACAAAAAAAAAAAAAAAAAAAAAAAAAAAAAAAAAAAAAAAAAAAAAAAAACCAAAAACCTACAAACAGGTAAGGTTCTTCTTCATGCCTAGGCCTGCCGTAAACACTGTTCAAATCTAGGCTCCTAAGAGCCCCAGCCTGTCCCACCTAGCTGGGAGAATGGGGAAGGGAGATAAAGTGGGTGGGAGAGACCAAGAGCTTTGCGTGGGTAGTAATGGTGCAAACAGAAATGTTAAAGCCTGGGGATACGGGGAAATGGGGTGGAGGAAGAGGGTGTGTGTGAAGAACCCAGGAGACAAGGACAGAGAAGGAGGGCTCTGGGTGGAGGGACGTTGTAGTATACACAGCATGAAATCACTTGGATAGCCATTCTTACCAGAAACACACCGTGGGCATACAAATGGATCCCCAGCTGGATGCCATTGACAATCTTCTCTCGGGCCCACTTTGGGATCCCAAAATTGGCAATCAGGGCCATGACAGGGACAGCAAAGAACCTGCAGAGGAGATTTAGAGTGGGTAGCTACCTCTGCTCTCCCCCATCTTCCCTGCCATCACTCACAGGCCCAAAGCAGATCCCAAACTGGAGGATGGCCTTTGAAAGCCAGATGGTGAAATTCCAGTGGACAAAATCTATGCTGGATTTAACTCGGCTCCACACCACGCTAACCCTGGTGTCTGATAGGACATCCATAGATATCTCAAGGTTGAATTAATGGATGACAGTAACAAAAACTGTATTTGCAGTTATATATATTTACAAACATTTTACATGCATGAACTCATTTAACTCTCACACTGAGTCCACAGAACAAGTATAATCTCCATGTCCAATAGAAAGGCCTTGTCTAAGATGGAACAGTTTGCATGCTTCAGAGCTAGGGTCTGCAGCCAGCAGTCTGGCTTGGAATCTGCCAACTTCGCATTAACATTGCTGAACAATAACAACTGAGAGCTTTTGTTTGTTTTGGGTTTTGTTTATTTGGAGTTTTATTTATCACAGGGTGTGTGTGGTATGTATGTGTGTGTGGTGTGTGTGTGTGTGTGTGTGTGTGTGTGTGTGTGTGGTGGGTGTGTGGTGGGTGTGCTCGCTCAGGTGCTTCACAGGCCTTCACAGGGCGCTGGAGGTGGAGTTATAGACCATTGTGAGCAGCCCTGTGGGTGCGGGAATGGACTTGTATCCTCTGGAAAAGCATCAAACACTCTAAACTACTGAGGGTTTTCCACTTTTTCTGTGGGTAGCCATGGCAGTCCTGGAACTCACTCTGTAGACCAGGCTGACCTTGAACTCACAGATCTGCCTGCCTCTGCCTTCATCTTCCAAGTTCTGGCATTATAGGCATTCACTAGCATGTCTGGCTATTAAGTAATTTTTATTGAACACTTACTGTGTGGCAGACACTAAACCTTCATATGTTAATGTACTCATGCTGAAGATAACCTTCCAAAGAGGATCCTGTTGACAGTCTTGTCATATGAAGCACTATGACAAATTCTTTGTGAAGTATTTTTGTTTTGTTAGTAGTGACACACACCTTTAACCCCAGCACTCAAGAGGCAGAGGCAGGTGGATCTCTGTGAGTTTGAGGCCAGCCTGGTCTATAAATCAAGTTCCAGAACAGCCAGGACTACACAGAGAAACCCTGTCTTGAAAACAAAGAATATATATAGAAAAAAACTTTCTGGTTCGATTTAGTTTGGTTTGGTTTTAGAGGCAGAGTCTCATGTAGCACAGTGTGGCCTTGAACTCCTGATCCTCCAGCCTCTGTTTCTCCAATACTATGGTTAAAACTATGAGTTAAGGGGCTGGAGAGATGGCTCAGAGGTTAAGAGCACTGACTGCTCTTCCAGAGATCCTGAGTTCAATTCCCAGCAACCACATGGTGGCTCACAACCATCTGTAATGGGATCTGGTGCCCTCTTCTGGTGTGGAAGCACGCATGAAGATGACTGTATACATAATAAATAAATAAAAAAAATCTTTAAAAAAAAAAAAGTATGAGTTAAAGATGTGCCCAGTGGAAGATTTTATTGTTTGTTTTTGTTTTGTTTTGTCTTTTTCTTTTCTGGAGGAGGGGTTTGAGACAAGGTTTTTTTGTGTAGCCCTGGCTGTCCTAGAACTGTTCTGTAGACCAGGCTGCCCTTAAACTCACAGAGATCTGCCTGCCTCAGCCCCCTAGTGATGGGACTAAGCTGTGACCACCACCTAGCTTGACTTTTTTTTTTTTTTAACTTTCTCACCATTTTACTCTGGGAGAGTAACTTTTTTCTAGATCTAAAAGCTAAGGAGTGGCAGATTCCATGTAACAACTACATTTATTTATCTATTTATTTATTTATTTATTTATTTATTTATTTGAGGCAGGGTTTCTCTGCATAGCTCTGGATGTCCTGGAGTTCACTCTATAGACCAGGCTAGCCTCGAACTCAGATTCTCTCACCTCCACCTCCCAAGTGCTGTGACTAAAGGCATGCACCACCACTGCCCAGCTCCAACCAGTCGTCTTGAAAACCCATATTCTTTCCTGAGATCCTCTAGGTTGTGGGAAGAGGCAGGCTAGGGCCCTCCACCATGTCTCACCAGAGAGTGTAGGCAGCAAAGAAAGGCACATAAAAGGGCTGTTTCTCGGGAAAGTGACGAAGGGACACCAGCACAGCATAGCAGAACCATACGTAGGCTGCCACCTGCAGTCCGATGAGCCCATAACCAGCTGGAGATTCGTATGTGTACAGTACCTGCCCTGGATCAAAGAACTGGACCCACAAGACAAGGTGTGTCATGGCCCTGGCCTCTGACCCTGGATCCTATCCCTGGGCACCAGGGACAGGGCCAGGGACAGGCCAGAAGAATTGGGACAGCTAGGAATGGGGCTAGAATTCTACATGGGTACATAAGGAACCTACAGCAACTGTGCATGCTCACCACGGGACTAAATACTATAACTCACACCATGTGTGAGTTATTCCAGCCACACTGACACAGTGAAAGAGGCCCTCCCGCCATCCCACAGAGGAAACAGAAAGCCTATCAAGAGCCCTCAAGGTGGCTAAGGTCCCCCTAACTTTTCAGAGGAGGAAGCAGGCCCTTAGTAGGGGTAGGAATGGCCAGCTAGGATGTGAGGGAGTTTAAACAGAACTAGGTCTCTGACTCTTCAGCATGGAGCTTAACTGTGATAGACAGTGAGAGACGAGGAGGAGGAAAGCTCATGAGAAAGGGTGAGGAGGGAGGAATCGCTCACACAGATGGGGAGGCAGAGTGGAGGAGGAGATGGGCTCTGTGGGGAGGGGCAGTGGACAGAGCAGGAGGGAGGGACTGGCAGGGGCCTTGGACACTCACTTCCGCCTCGTAGATGAGCAGCACGACGTGGGTGAGGGTGTACAGGGTCATGTACACAGACAACTTCACCGAGCCTGAGTGGCTGATGTGGCCTCTGGGAAGCAGGGCGGGAGGGAAGACAGCAGGGAGGATGCGGGGAAGGGGGTGGGG